TGGCACTCCATAAGTACAATTTTAATTGAATTAATTATATAAAAGAGTATTATATTTAATAAAAACAAAAATAATTTGGTTAATATTTTTTTAAACTACTCTGTGTTTATTTTTGGGATATTATTAAAAATAACTTTTTTTTTATTTTTAAAATTTAAATTTTTTTAAATATAAATAAAAATAAAAATGTTTTTATTTTATCATTTAAAAATTTATAATAACTAAATAATATAACAAACTAGTCAAAAATAATATTTATTAAGAAAACCATTTCGTTTGTAAATATATTGTTAAAAAATGTTCATATATTAATTTTAATTAAATGTATGAATAATAATAAATAAAAATATACGAATATGAAAAGAAGAAATAAATAAATATGAAAATGCAATATTTTTCGCAATGAATATAATATATATGTATATATCAGTTTATTATCGTTGTTTCAAATATTTATTAATTTCAACATATCAATCATCCACAAGTTAGTCATAAGTAAATAAATAAATCCTTTTTGATAATAACATATATATTTTAATATGTCTATAAGATAATATAGGTGTGACTCATATTTTAAGAAATTTAGACAAAAATATTGAAATTTCGAACATAAAAATTAATGTATATAAAAATGAATGTATATAAAAATTAATGTATATAAAAATTAATGTATGTAAAATTAATGTAATTTAACCGAGAGTTCTAAAAATTTTTGTACTTTAATTAGATTATAATTAAGTTAAAAACCCTAATTTATGTGTATAAACAAATGTAAATGTTTTGTTAAGTAATGGTAATTAAAGCTGAAATATTTGAACAAATATTTTATTTGATATGAAGAAAAAATACTTATACGCTACGTTGAACACATAAAAATGCTGCTTACCATTTTGATTTATAACTTAAAGTTTATCAAATTAAAAAACACTTGAACTTTGAAGATTTTTGTTTATATTACTAAAATACCAATTTAATTCATTTAAATAAATTTATAATTTGATAATTCTTTTTTTAGATTTAAATTAAAACACAAGCGTAAGGAAACATATCACAAAACTAAATAAGATATAAATTTTTATTTAATTATTTTTAATTTATTTAATTAAAAATAACATAATAAATCACAGATATATTTTTTTAATTAAATTTTAAAATTTTGTTAGATTATCGTTGTACTTAATTTAATTAAATTTTTTAATTTTGTTAGTTATCGTTGTACCTCCTTCGAATTTATTAAGCGCTCTTGCCTAAAACCGATCCATCGATAAACTGTCGATAATGTCAAACTTTAAAAAAATACTAAAATGTTTCATTCGAATTTTCTGCTCCAATCGCATTTGAAAAAATATTTCAAAATTATCACCAATACAAATAGCGTAGCACATTTTTGCAAAGTGCTCTACATGCAAAAAAGCCCAGAACCCAGTTACTAAATTTACTAAATTTGTGAAAGTAAAAACAGTACTCGTATGACACCTTCATTCAATAGATGAATGTGGTAAGGTGCACATGAACTGATATCTATCTTTATCTATATACCAGTGGGCACAAGACAATAAACTGTATAAAGCATTCGTACTACCCCGCCTCCACCCTTATTCCATTTCGGTTTTCCATATTACTGAGACTCTTTATATGAGCACTACGCAAACTTTTGATAAGAAAATCTTATCAATTATAACGGGCGACATGCAACCAGGTACAGGTAAAGTAAACATACAATCTTTCATGAGAGACGAGCAAATAATATTTAACGTTTGAAATTTGCGCTCTTCAAAATAATTATATATATATATAATATATATATATATATATATATATATATATATATATATATATATATAAACACCAAAAGTGTTAATATTTTCGGCAGTGGTAAATATAAAATTTTGATGAATTAAAAAAAATGTAACGAGATATAAATAAAAATTTATTTAATAATAAATCGTAAACTATATAAGAATTTACTTGTGGAAAGTGGCGTCTTTAATAAATTTTGTAAAATATAAATATTAAATAAATGTCGATTACAAATATTATATCTGTAGCATTTAATATGTATAGTACTTTTACAATCTAATTATTCAATTTTTTATTATTGTTAAAAATAAAAATTTAAAAAAAAAAAACGAGGATTTATTTTACAATAATTTTTTTATCATCGATATTTCGACTTTAGTACAAAGTCATCATCAGGAAATATCGATGAAATAAAAATTATTGTAAAAGGAATCGTGGTTTTTTCTTAATTTTAAATTGTTAAGTAAAAGAAAAAAAGAAGAAAATAAGAAAAAAAATAAGATTGAAATAAGATAAAAATGAAAACAAAATAAATTAAAAAAAATTATAAAAAATATAAAAATAGAAAAAACAAAAATAAAAGAAAAAATATTATACCAATAATAAAAAATTGAACAATTAACCTATTTAAAATAAATAATAGAAAATAAGAAAAAAATGAAATAATAATAAGATAAAAATGAAGAACAAAATAAAAAAATAAATTTAAAAAATATATAATAAAAAAAAAAAATTTTTTTCCAATATAAAATTGAACAATAAAACATACTAAATATCGGTTGGTCATAAAAAAATATATCTGTAACATTTATAATATAATATATTTTAGAACGCTAAATAATATATTTAGAAATCTTATTCCAATAATAAAAAATTGAACAATTAGCCTATAAAGACACTATATTAAATATCGGTTGATCATAAAAAAATAAATCTGTAACATTTATAATATAATAGAATATATTTTGGAATGCATTATATATAGTCATAAAAATAAATTAAATAAAAATTGCCTCAATTATTACAATAAAATAATTTATATTATCTTAAAAGTGTAATGAACAAATTAATATGAAATCAGGTTAGGTTGTTACGATGATCCCTCACATCCACATAATTCTCGGACTTGCCTTCTGTGTTACCATATAATGCGCAATGAGTATAAAACTATTTCACACCTTCCATAAAATCTTAAATATTCTTTAAGTGAGAACTATAAATAAGCTACTCCAGAAAGTTAGTTCATATCTTCTTCAGTCTACATTACGTGTACATCAGAGAACGAGATTTGAAGCACTACCCACTATTATTAAAGAAAATATTTAATCTTCTCAAATGACTATCTAATCGAAAATAACCCACCAGAATGTTAACTCTAATAGTATGTTTCCACTGGCTTCGTTTTAAGTAATTCAAGCAATCTCAAGTTAACTGGTCTAACGAAGCCAGTGGAAACATACTATAAGACTGATATTTTTACGGGTCAGTTCAATCATTATTTTTTACTTAAAAGTGGTGCACTTAAGTGGTGCATGTACTCAACATATATTCAACAATTGTCTCCATATCATTGAACCTTCTAATCTGATATGTATTTGTTTTATACAAAAAAATTCAACGACTGTTTCTGATGTTCTGAATGTGCACCGAAGAACCTCTTTCTGTTCAACTTATTTGTTTATGGCCTTTGCGTTTTCTTTGTGATCAGCAACTCTTACTTACTTAATTGATTATCGTAACTACACATTACCGGGTTTCGGCGTAATACAGGATATCTCTACAGATACCTCTGCTGCGTACGTACCTTCTCCAATCTCCAAGATGGAGTCCAATTTGTGCTTCCTTAATTTGATTACTTTACCGGAGACACGGTCTATTCCACCGACTTCAGTGAAGCATCTTCATCTATTCTCACGCCATGATCAAGTCAACCAAGCCGTTCGGTGTTAACCCGTTGAATTATATCAATATGGTGGTAAAGCTCAGGAACTCAGCGAGAACAAGTGTTGAACAATATTAACATCTCTCTAAAGAGAAACATATTCAAAAATCTTACTAAATGTAATTTTGACTGTTAGATCAGCACTTTAAACACTCTAATTATGCGAATTAATTGCTATTTGATAAATGTACCACTTCAAGACATGCTATACCTATCCACAAAGTCCTCAAGCTCTGCTTGAAAAATCCTGAAAGAGGCTGCAGGAATGAAAATTAAATTAACTGCTCACCGTTTCTAGTTCTATAAATGGGTACTAGCTTTTCTATAAGGGATCTTCACATATTCAGGGTCTTGTAATTGAAAAGTCGACAAGCAAATATGGATTGATGTTGTGGCAGGGAATTGTACTATAATATAATGGATTTGGTTAAGAAAAATGTAAATCATTTATTATGGTTCACTTAGTCTTTTAATACTAAGAAAAAAAGGGAATATTGTACAAAGTAATTATTTTATAGTTTTTCTACTTATTATAAAATATATTCTTATAGTTTTTGTACTAATAGCGGGCATTACCACATAAAAATTATATATACAGTTTTAAATTTATTATATATTAATCAATGGTATTCATTAAATAAAATACCGAGAGATTTTAGCTTAGCGAATGCAACATCACTAATATATTTTAACCTAATGGTTATAGTCTCTTTTTAGGTCCCAGCGGACTACAATAACAACCACAATCTGATGATTGTGATTATTTATTATAAATAATATATAATTATATCATATATTAATAATATAGTTATAAAGTTGTAATTATAACTAAATGCATTATTCTCAAAATTTTGTGTACCCTATTTTCCAAATTTATTTTATCGTAAATCGAACTAAAAGTATTTCACAACTTATTAAAAGAATCATATCTACAGTTTTATAGGTATATAGTTATCCAAAAATTTTGTGTATATAATTATGAGTCTTCAATTATAAAAGAAATTGTTATCTTTATCTTTATTGCAGTATATAATTTTAAAATATAAAAAATTGCATTTCATGTCAACAAATAGTAATATAACAGAATAGAGATAATTACTATATTTCATAAATTTATTGAAAATATTCTTTTGTCTGAAGTCTAATTTTAATTGTAATAAAAAAGACTTTATTATAATTTATCAAATAAGTTTAAACATTTTTATATTATTTGCATAGTTCATACATACAATATGCGTGTTTAAGAAACAAATTATTTTTATTAGATTATAGGTGGTAATTTAGTTTATCAGTGTTCTATGGAATAATTCATAGATAAATTTAAATAGATATAAATGTACATATATGTAAATATACATATATATATTTTTTTTTCTCCAATAAAATAGATGTTGAATAGGTTGTTTTACCTGTGTTAAATCGTAGGTATCAATGGGAAAAGCTATAAAATTTGCAACAAATATTCAAATAAATATGTCGCAAAAACATGAATCACACCATTTTATGACTTCTTAAATATAGTAGCAAATTCCAATGACTGAAATATAATATTCTTGGAAAGAATTTTGCTTATATTATTAATTTGTTTGCACCTAATAATTATACAGTTGTATAGTGGGCTTTGCAATGTACTGTAAATAAAAGCAATTCTTATTAATATTTCATATTCAAAAACTTTATAACTTAACTCACCGATGAATTCTGATACTGGATCGTTATCTCCTTCACCACGCATAGTACCAGTTATTTCCTCATTCTCAACCATAGGTAAAAATAGTTGCACAAATTCAGGTGAATATGGATGTGTTATAGTCTCCAATACTTCAGTCACAAAATATCTTATCAAAGAAATATCGGTGTCACCCTTCAACACGCACTGCTTCACATACTTAACGACAGGAACGACACAGCCACGTGTTAGTAAATTAACCATTCGATCGAGCAACATTTTTTTCATTTCTAAATGCACTAATATCTCTAATTCATCTTGTTTTGATTCGAAAAGACGTATAAGCAAGCGTAGAATTTGTTGATGTAATGTCACGTGAACAGCAGCGACTTCATCAAGTATAGCTAAATGCGTAGGACAACTGTCAGTGGAGAGTTTAAAATACGATGGCTCTGTGACAGTATTTTCAATCCAACGTATTACACCTATACCAACAACTGGATATCTGTAAATTTATACAGTTAATTATTATATTACATTTTGAATTGTAATTAAGCTTACTTTATACAATTATAAAGCGTTTGCAATTCAGCAATAAGTTCTGTGGATCCTTTATTTACATTACATATGCCATGTACTTTTTCAATGGCTTGTATGGTACTATTTAATTCATCTTGATTTAATACACGTTCTACGGGTGGACGCTTTTTCGATGGTGTGTCAATGACTGCCGCAGCATAAGCAAGTAAATAAATATATTTCGATTTGTGTTCAGGATTGATTTTAACTCCAGCTTTAAAGAGTGAATCGACTAATAATTCTAGAAATTGTGGATTTCTAATGAGATCAATTGGCGGTGGGTCAGCCGTGGAATAATTGCGATAGAGCACAGTTATATCAGCTGGATTTAAAGTGTTACGCGCCAACATTGAAGATAAAGCCTGACAAGCTTGTGGATAACCTGCTGAACCATTCAGTGCCATTGTAATAGGTGTAACATTTTGATTACTAAGAAGAAAACCACCTTACAATCAAATAAATCATTAAAAGATTATAAAAATGAACTTACTTTTGTAATGCATATTTTGTAATTTCTTGTGATAATCGCTTCATATTGAAACCACCTTTAGGTTCTTGACTTAATACTTGCATTAATACCTGTGAATAGACATAAGTATGTTGACCGTGACAAACCATACGCGCACACTCCTGTATAGCGCCCTGTACGTCTTCTGGATTGTTTAAAAATTTTGTTATTGAAGTTTTCAAAACTCGTGAAAAAACTTCAATTTGTTGTGCTGCTGTAGAAATGGAAGTAATTTCACTTTGAAAACCAGCATCAGAAATAATTTTAATTGTAAAATTTAACATCAAACAATCGGGATATTCTTCAGCTAAACGATATATAAGCGAACGCCAAGTGGGATGATCAATCATTTCGGTTAACCAATCTGGAGTTTCACCTTCTTCCGTAAATATAGTATCAGCTTTTTTAGGGTCGAAAGTTTTCAACACCATATCTTTTAAATGATTTTCAACCATTGCTTGCACATCTGTTACTTTCACACCGGCAATAATTAACCATTCGGCTAGCAAATTTGCCATTTGTGCTACTGCTTTGTAGTTCTCGGATAACATAGCAATAACCTCTTCTGGTGAACCACCTGATTGAAAATAACGTTTCAATTGTGAAAATATACCAGGTTCCATAATGTAATCTGGTGTTAAAAACTTTTCTAAACATTCTTGAATGGTTTCTTGTAAGTCTTGGGGCTCCTAAACGAAAACAAAAACAAATAATTTGATGCAGTCGCAAAAAATTCTATATAATTACCTCTTCTTCGCCAGCAGCTCTTGGTCTCCCTTGCCAACCATCCTCAAATTCATGCTCCATTTTGCACAATTACTTTTTTTATTTTATTAAGTATTTTTTCACAAATTTTAAGCGGTAAACAAAATATTTTTTTATGCCTACCAGCGAAAAATAATACCAAATCAACTGTCAAAATATGAAAACGACAGGGTTGGCATATTTTTCATATTTGCATAAAAAATTTTATCGATAAGTACAATATTTCCAGACAAATTTTTTCTGTATAAATTAAATTAAATTAATAAATTTCAAGACTGTAAAAATTAAATAAAGTGTTTTAATTTTTAATAACAGAATTAATTTTGGTAATCTTTTGAATTACGTTAAATTAATAAAAAAAAATTTTATAATACTTGCGATAATCTATGAAGTGAACTGAACTATTTGTTATAAAAAAATAATTATTTTTCTTGAAATTAATAAATAAAATTAATGTTTTTCTTTATATATCTTTTATATAATTTTAAATAATATAAATAAAAAAAAACAACCCGAAGCGCAGCAAAAGAACAAATAAACAATTAAGTTCGATACCAAGCAAACATTTCTTGTTATATGAGTATATCTCTAAAAACTTTAATATATAATGACTATAGCATATATTTTTATTATATATATATTAATATATTTATTAATATATAAATCAGATAAACATTATTATTAATTAAATAGTTTATTATATCTCCGGAATATTCGAAAATAAGGTTATACCATATATATTTTTTTATTACTTATACTTTTTATATATTTATTTATTTATGAGTTAACATTAAAATTAATTTTAAAGTTAACTAAAAAATAATAAAGAACTGAACTGTTAGATCACCCGATTATTTCACAAAGTTTTTAATTTAAAATAGTACGATATTGTAGTATAAAGCTACATAAAGATTTTATCAATAATAACTACCAAATACAAATATTCTTTATTTCAAAGTATGAAAATTTAGTTTTAATTCAAAAATATCAAAAATTTGATTTCAGATTATCTTATATATTATTATAAAGCCGTATTCCATCAGAAACATAGATTATTTATACAGAATCGCCAGGTATTTCTATTTAATGCTAAATATCTTAATTCGATAAATGACTTATTAGTTTCATGCCGGATTGTTCTTCTCCAGGTGGTACGAGGTCTTCGATTGCCTTAAGGTTTTCATTGTAGGGCAGCATGACAGATCTTTTCGTAGGAAACAAATCTTATAAGACATTAAAATAACTTATCTCTATTTTAAAGCTTGAAAATTTAGTTTTCATTTAAAAATATCAAAAATCTGACAGCATTATCTGGGATTATTAGATCGGACTATACTGGTTTATTAGTCTTCTAAAAGTCAGTTTAAATAATCGCTAATTTAAAGTATAAAAATTTAATTTTTATTTAAAAATGTTTAAGATCTGATTTGAGGATATCTGTGCTTTTAAGATCTGTTTATACTGGTTTGTGGATATTCTCAATTACTTATCAAGAGAGACACATTAAATAATCATAATTTTAAAATTTAAAAATCTGACTTAAGATTATCTTTGGTTAAAAAATTTCATAATACAGATCTTGCGAATAATTTTTTTCAGACATTTTAAATTTCGTTTAATCATAATATTTCTTAATACTGGTTTAACTTTTATTTTAAAGCAATTCTAATATTTATGTATAAATAAATAAAAATTTGATCATGGTATCTCAAAGGTTTCAATTTTATTTATAAAATTTTAATATTACATAATATAATATTACATGCAAATGGGGAATTTAACACCTTCATACATGAAAAAAGTGCATGGTCATATTTTGTAAAAATTTTACATTGTATAATGTTTAAATCCACTCGTTCATCATTTGTATTAAAATAACTAACATGTTACTCTTTATATCAGTACGTTTTACATTAAAATAATAAATAAATCAAAAGGATTAATAACCTAAAATTGGTAAAAGTCACTATTATTAATGGACAAACACACCCACTAGTTGTCCAGTAACAAGAGGGACTTTGTCTTATCAAACTTTTAACTTGACTAGAAAGTTTATAATATTTATAATATTATTTAATAAATAAAAAATTTAACAAAATTATATATTCCAAAATTAAATTAATTTATCAAAGTCTCTGTGTTGCGTTTCGTTTTTTCATACTTTACATCGTTTAATATCGTTTTCGATCCTTCGGTTATTTTCGCATATATCTACAACAATTGTTATAGTTTAGTTATTCTTTTTAACATCTTTTGTATCTCCCTCCTTCGCTTGTCCACGGCCCAAAATTTTAGCAAGGCTATCCCATATACCACCGAAAAATATGGCACAACATAGATTCTCGAATGGCAAGAAAGGATCATGTATGCCCAGCAGTATAGATGACAACTTAAAGTAAACCAAGAAGATTACAATGCCAAAATAGACAAGAGCATGTGGTGCTGAAATCCAATCGGTCTTCTTATCCAAGACAAAAATTATTGAAGCAACTAGCGAAGCTTTGGTATAGCTAAAAATATACACATAAATATTAATAATTTTATTATAATATGAGAGAGTTAACTTACAATGAAGGCTGCATAAATTCCATAGCTGTTGGTGTCCACGCGCCACGTATGAGTCTCTCTAACAATTTGGTAAAGCCTGCGCCATTTCCTTTAAGTGTACCAATTATTATCATAATTATCCAAGCGTTCGGATAAAGTTTAGCCGCATGAGATACACCATCATAGACTTTCTTAGCGCGGTAAATTTCCTTCATGGCACTAGCAACAAGTTTTATAGGCAAGAATTTTCCAATTTTGTAACCAATATCGAATGGAGTATAAAAAACCAGATACCTGAGTATAAGAATTTATTAAAAATTATTATTATTTAAATATTACTTAAAGATTATTTTTATATATTTACCAAACAACAGTACCGACCAAAAGCTGTGGAGTATTTTTTAATGGAGCCAAAATAGGTTCACCTAGCAAAGCATTAGCAGCCATACTACTTGAGAATACAACCAACATAGTCGACAACCAACAAGCCAAAGGATGTTTCCGGGAAAAAGATTGCGCATTTGGTCCTAAATCCTCGCGTACTCCTAACGCGGCTAGCAAACTGTTTGCTATGTCGAAATATGGAAACATCTTCAGTTTTATGACCTGATTGGCCATATCAAGAAATGCTTCAGGATCCATTGTTGATCTATTTTATATTGTTTATCCTGCTTTAGTTTAAGTTTCTATGCGTACAAAAATCTGAAACTGTGAATAACAGAATTATATTTGTTTGTTTAGAAATTTTTGCTTAAATTTAAATTATATTGTCAAAATATACAAGCAAAACACATTAACATATTTATGTTTTTATATGTAGATATTTTCGCTTGTGTTTGTATGTATGTTTATTATTTATTTTTTTTAGTGGGTAACTTAATTGCTTCTTGTTGCGTTCACTTTTGCATGCCACTGTCTTGTATTTATATTTGCTTAGCAAAAATTGTTGTCACCTACAAAATATTTGGCAAACGTAAGCAAAATTGTTGGGAATTACATATATAATTATACATTCTGTACTTCACGACACTAGTTTGAAAACAAAAAACGGAAGATTACATTAAATTGAGAAGATTGCGTCTATCTAAACTCCTTTGAACTCTTTGTCACTCATCTCGAATCCATTCGTTCACCCATCTCGAATTCATTCGTTCACACATCTCGAATCTATTCGTTCATCCATTTCGAATCCATTCATTCACCCATCTCCAACCCATTCTTACTCCTAAACAATCCCCTTTCGTCTCACCCTACCATCACTCACCTACATCATAATCCATGTTTACATCTTTGTAATTCTGTTTATGTTATCTGCTTAATAGATAACCATGGGTTACAACAACAACATTATTTCTAAATTTGGCAGAGTTTGAGGAATAAGAATCGAAGGAACTGGATAAACCAAAGAAATGTTATATTATCCTTAATTCTTTCTTCGTTACATCAATACAGTCACCATGAATTCATCCCTTGCAACAATAAGATCTTAACATAAAACTAGAGTAATTAGACGAATACAATAGACTACCTTGCTACAACATAATAGCAATATTTGATCAGTCCTATAAAGGATCAATAACTCTAAAACAGTGGTTCCCAACCGGTGGTTTGAAATGGCCCGTGAAACAAATACACCAAGTATGGATACATAGCTTGTAGTTTATCCGCTGAGACCTCACTTCTTAGAAAATAAACCCAAAAAATTTCCAAGTAATTGTATAGCCTATATATATAATGTATCTATACACTTATACAATTCATTACACATTATAGCAGACATAAAGCATATTTATAGCATATTAAAATAATCACACAGTTTCTTATTCTTACACTTTGTGATTCCTACTAAAAAACAAAAATATCATAGGGGTCCTTGGTCAAAAAAAGGTTGAGGACTACTGCTCTAAATGGATCAGATTTTTTCAGGACCTAAGACCATACTCTGCAAATATATACTGAAAAATGGAACTTATACAAAATACCCAGCTGTTATATTTAACAAAAGACACGACTTTTATAATCTTTAGTTTAATTACTAACTGAAAAGTATTTATTTGGAGTATTATATACTTCAAATATTATAAACTAGCTAGACTATATAATAGTAATAACTAACTCTTATAAAAAACTGAAATGTGTCTATTCCACAAAGACTGCGAAGAAAAAAAAGTCAGTCCCTAGCATGATTAATCGACGGCCCCTAGGATAGCAACAAAGCAGATGTGAGACATCACTTGTATGGAAGACTTCCACACAAGTGCAATAGAAACCATTAAACTCAGAAATGAAAATTCGAATACAGTCCCCCAAAAAGTTACAACTCATCAACAAACATACCACCAGATTTCGTTAGATTAATGCCAGATTTATTATTAATCAAACGGGGCTAACTTTCATACAGATATAGAGATATAATGGAACAATTTATTAGAGAGCTCGCGATCCATTTCAAATGTGGTGTGGGAGTAATAAGAAGCAAGTATAATAATAAATAATTGTCTTCGAATGCAATCATTAGCTCTACATATTTATTTTTTATTAATATAAATGTACAAATATGTG